CTAGCTGACCCAAGAACTTTTTTCTCTTGCTCTTATAGTGAATAATATTTTGATATATTAACCATAAGTTTGCACTTTAGTACAATCTTAGTATTGAAGTACTACATTCCCATTTTTTTTTTTTTTTGTCTCAAAGAAGAGTGAGGAACACCTAAGCCTAAAAGGACAAAGTCTAATTTTTACCATTTATCCTTTCTAGGGTAACTCATGTGATTTGGAATTATACACAAAGAGGGAGTACAAAGCTTCTTAAAAACCTGTCATTCCACCTCCTTCACTACCTCCAAGACAGATTTGGGAGAACCTTCAGGAAGAAGAGTCTAAAAGAGCCTGGCCAGCAATCAGTTCACCCACAATATCCTGGTCCTAAATACTAATTTCACTACCACTCTTGTCCTCCCCAAAGCTGGATGTAACACTGGGGTGGGAGGGAAAAGAAGAGGACGTAGAAGAGGCACAAACCTAGTATGTCTGAAAAGTTTTAGGGCAGTCTATTGATGTGTGGGTTCCAAAAACACAATTAAATGGAGTTACTGAAAATTAAGCTATTACATTGCTTACAGTGATTTCTTAAAATGAGATTTTTAGTCACTATACTTACTTCATTTACTTTTCTTAAAAGTACTTAGCTGTTCTTTTTTTTTTTTTTATATAATGTTTTTAAATTTATTTTTGAGACAGAGAGAGACAGAGAGCATGAGCAGGGGAGGGGCAAGAGAGAGAGAGACACAGAATCCGAAGCAGGCTCCAGACTCTGAGCTGTCAGCACAGAGCCCAACGTGGGGCTTGAACTCACAGATGGCGAGATCATGAACTGAGCCAAAGTTGGACACTCAACCGAGTGAGCCACCCAGGCGCCCCATGAGTTGTTCTGAGCGAAATATAGCAGCTTTCTTAACTCTGCTAATACAGAGGCATCTTTCCTTTTAAATCTTCTGCCTACTTTGCATACAATGAGGTGACCAAGATGGCCTGCCTGTTTACTCTGAGCTGGACCAACCTTTAGAAAGGCTCTTCTGGCTCTAGGTCCTAACCACCCTTTTCTTTGAACATGTGCTTTAGAAAACTTGTAATTATACATCCTTTCTCTGTTTAAAATACAGATAACCCTTTTTTACAAGCCTCTTTCCTGTTTTACAACCCCAAACTGCCTTTCTGAAGGACCTGGGAGTCATCCTTTGACACGTAATCCTTAAGGAAGATAACACCCCTATTCCCAGTCTCTGTGCGAGGGGGGAGCTAGCTTTCAACAGGTACCAATCAGCAAACACAGATGGCCTCATCAGAGAACCACATGGACAAACTCAGGAAGTTACTCAAGGTGTTCTCCTGGTCAACCTTCCCTCTGAAAGGGCGGGCCTACGCTGGCCGACTCCATCTTGTTCTGTGTTCTCCACCTTGAGTGAGTATGTCCCTGACATGACCCCTTTTCCGGAAAATGGCAGAAACCTCAGACCGCACCTCCTCCCCTTGAGTAACCTCCCGCTCACCGCTCACCCATTCAAACTTCCCGATCAAAACACGCCCAGCGACCTGCGTAACAGGACTCCGACCCTTCCCCAGCCAATCGGCTGAGGCCACAGCCATTACCTCACCAACTGCCCCTAGACCCCTATAAAACCTTTGTGCTTTTGAAACTCGCTGGCTCTCCCTGGTATCTCACTGCTGCGTCGGTGCAGGTAGGGGATTGAGCTCGAGCTAGCTCGAATAAAGGCTCTTTTGCTTTTGCATCGGACTCGGCTCCCTAGTGGTCTTTGGGGATCACGAATTCTGGGCATAACACCTCCAATTTTTCCAACTTTCCCACTGTCTCACCTCAGTCCACAAACACCTTCCCACCCTTTGTTTCAGCAGAGTTGAGCTCAGACTGAGTTCTGGCCTCTCTTCCCTGCTCCGGTAGCCTCGCATAAAGTCTTCCTTGCCTGTTTTACTTCGTCCAGTGCAATTTTTGCTTTGAGAGAAGAAAACTAAGACAACGTGAGCTTCCTGCAGCACTTAACTTCCATACCCTTTCTCTCTATTTATTGAACACTTACTGTGTTCTGTCAGTTGAAATAGTCTAGTCACCCTGAGAGATGGGTACGCGTAATATCCAGGTTCTTTCAGACAAGGAAACCCAGGCCTTGTGAAGTCAAAGTTTACCTTGGGTCATTGCTATAATCTGACTGTCTGGGTCCTCCCCTCCTCTTATGTTGAAATCCAGACCCGGATGTGATGGTATCAGGATGAGGGACATTGGGCACGTGATGAGGCCATGAGGATGGAGCCCCGATGAATGGGATTAGTGCCCATATTATAAGACAGGGCCCCAGAGAGCTCCCCTGCTCCCAGAAATCAGGCTCTCACCACACACTGAATCTCACGGACCTCTGAACTGAGACTTCCCAGCCTCCAGAACTGTGAGAAATACATTTGGGTGGTCCAGCCCACGGTAGGTATTCTATTACAGCAGCCCCAGCTGACTGGGACAGTCACACAGCAAGTCGATTCTGGACACCCCAGCCCTCGACCCAAAACACGTGCCTCCAGACCCCTGGCTTTCAAATACTGAAGGCAACCAAAATAAAATTGTTTGTTTAATGTGTTCCCATTAGCTTCTCTGTGTGTCTTGGGGTCCAGAGAAGTGTCTCCTACTTCATGTGCTTGTTTTGGCACTTTCTCCTCCCTGGGAAGTCCGGGATGCATTCCCCAGAGCAGGGGCACTTGGAGAGGAAAAGGAAGGGAGTGAGGTCCAGTGAGGGACATGCAAAACTACAGGATGGAGGGTCAATGCTGGGTGTGGTGGCGAGCGACGTTAGACAGTGAGGTACGGGGAATATTATAATATATATGTTACATACAACGGGCTTTGGAGGGGGCAGAAAGGGTTGTGGAGGGTTCCAGTGTATTGGGGCTTTTGGGGGTGTTAGGGGGTTCGCACTTTCCGGCTCTGCACTCAACAGTGCGGCCAGGGGGTGGGCCTTCGGGGAAGTCCAGGAAGCCCACCCTCCGCCTCCCCGGGGAAATCTGGGGAGAAGACACCACCAGGCGGGGTGGTCCCCCATTCACCGCTCGGGCCTCGAAACCGCCAGTGCTACACCTGCGCCTCCGCCGCTAAGGGACGCGGGTCACCGGGCGCGGGACCTCCTCCCAACGCCTTCGCCAACCGCCCAGCTGCCTGCCGGCCCCGCGAGCAGGTCAGCGGCCATGGACTCTTCCTCGCGCATGCGCGCACGCGCCCAGTCCCCCAGCCTGCCCCCTCCTCCCTGCAGCCCCGCCACCTGGCCCGAACGCGCCTCCCTGCTCCCTGCGCGCTCTGGACCCTCCGCCCGGGACCCCGTAGAGTGTGGGGCCCCACCCAGCACTGCCCGAGGCCCCCAGACCCTGAGGGCCCTACCTCGCGGCCCGTGCGCTTGCCCCCAGGCTCTCTGCCTCTAGACCCCGCTGGACCACCCCACCACCCTCCAACTCTCAAGGGGTCCCCTCTCCCTCAAGTGTCATGGTCACCTCAGCGGGCCAGTAGCTCGTGGCAGGAAGTTGGGAGAGATTCAGTGGCCGCCCTCTAGGGTCTGTGGGCGGCAGCAGAGAACTTGCAGAGGTTCCCCCCACTCGGGGGCCCGCAAGCCTGCTGCGGGGGCCACTCGCAGCCCCCGACGTGGGGCGACTCTGGCGTAAGGCGCGCGCGGTCCTCGAGTCCAGCTCCCCAGCGAGCGCCGCCCGCGCCTCGACACGTGGGCGCTCTGCGCGTTGTGACTCCCACGGCGTCCTCTCCACGCGCTTCCCCGACCCGCCAGCCACTCAGGGGGCCTCACGTCCCGACCTCTCTCCTGCTCCACAGATTCGTCAGTGGTCGCTTCTCTTGGCGGACCCCACCCCAATACCCACCTTCGGTGTAGCTTAAGCGTTGCCAGGCCGGTTCTGAATTCTGCCAGAGGCAAATCTCTTCCCTACCCCGCCGGGGATCCGGTTCTGGCCTCCAGGCAGCAAATGGAATTGGGTTCTTGAACTGTCAGGTTAAGCTTGGTCAGGAGAGGGTGCTGGCGGGACGCTACAGGACCAAAGGCTGCTGCTCCAGGTTCAGTGTTTTCTCTTGATTGTTGCTCTCCCCTTGCTGCCAGCAGCAGGTGTGGAGGACATTTCTGGGCATTCACCCTGTACCTCCCCCGACCCCCATTAACCGTGGATTCTCAGTGACTCCGGCAGGTGCCCCTGCCTGGCACCAGCCTGCCAACAACCACAGAGAAGAGTTTCCTGCTTGCTAGATCCAGCCACAGTTCCTTGCTGGCTAGTCTAGGCAGCCTGTAACTATGGGGTGTTTCCTGTTTGCTCAGCAGGTTTGGAACAGCCTTGACCCAAGGCCAAGAAACTTCACCATCAAGTGAGCCCCAAGTTCACCTTCTCCAAGAATATCTGAATCCCAGCCTTGGGGAAGGGTCCTCTTCCAAGTTTGTTTCTTCCTTGGATATTTTCCCTCATCCATAGTGTATCCTTTGGAGTTCCCTGTACCTCCTATAGCTAACCCCCTGCTATAATTAATCATTCTTTCAACTTTCCCTGTTCAAATTGCTGTGTGGTTTCCTGACTCCAAGTGGGGATACTGATGAACGATCCTGCTTACTTGCTGGGTGACCCTGGGTAAATCCCTTAACCCCATCTGCCTCTCCCATGTACAGTGAGGATAATAATAGCTGCAATACCTAGCCCAGAGTTTTGTAGTGGGATTAAATAATGCAATGCATGTAAAGTGCTTAGTAGAGGAACTGACATAATTTGTTCGTTTCTTGCTGGAAGATAAGAGGTGAATTGGATCATAGGGATAGTGAAGAGACCACCACACTCAAGGAATTTTAAAAAGAGTCATTAATTATGCCAACTGTGAGACTAGATGCAAGTAAGACCTTAATGAGTTCCCCCTCCTCTTTTACAGTTTGCCAGCCTGCAAATTTTGCGATTACTGAAATCACTGGTGATGTATGGCACGTATGGGAGTGGAACCCACAGAAAGTTATACCTAAAAACAATTAGCTTTTGGGTATAATTTTATTACTCACAAATATCCAACTAAGAATATATAAACCTTGAACAAACCATCCTAAAGTAGAGCAGCTTCATGGATTCTTTCTATCTTGCAACTGGACAACAATCATCTCTTGTCTGCTCATCTGCCCATGAATCTTGAGAGTTACTAGATTTCTCACATGGCTTATGGGGGACTCCATGTGGCCAAACAAGCATCTGAGGAAGAGCTCTGTATATCATTCTTCACTTCATTTCTTCTTCTTTTCTTCTTAATCAGAGGTGGGACAAGAATAGAAAAGAAAATAGTATTTTTTAAATAATGGTTTTGCTTTCTGTTCTTGGACTCTAAATGTTATGGTACAAAGGTTCTCTTGCAAATGAAAAATCTTGGTTTGAGTTTTGGAAATAATAACCCCACACACCCGTACCCCTTAAAATTTGATACTGATTTTAATTAGATCCTTTTTGGTATAAAATTGTGTGTGGGTGAGGGGTGCCTAGGTGGCTCAGTGAGTTAAGTCTCTGACTCTTGATTGTGGCTTGGGTCATGATTTCATGGTCGTGAGACTGAGCCCCACATCTGATTCCGCACTGGGCATGGAGAATGCTTAAGATTCCCTCTCCCTCTCCCTTTGCCCTCAAAAAATTGTGTGTGTGTGTGTGTGTGTGTGTGTGTGTGTGTGTGTCCATGGAAAAAATGCTTTGATACATACTTAATGTTCCTCTTAACCACAACTCAAGTACTGAAACACTCCTTTTGCTTTTCAAGCTGTCCCATTTGACAGCACCATTTTTTTTGGATGTTTCTGTTTAAACATTCAGGATGCTCAAGAATATGTCCTTTTCCTACCCTGATTAATGCTGCTCTTTTGTATTTCTAGGAAAACAAACATTTCACCAAATGTCTTTAGATTTGCGCATGCTGGATACACAAGCCACCCATGTAAATTTACAGAAGAGTGACATATGTATGTTATTCTTTGGAGGACTCTTTATTATGTAAATACATTTATGCCAAGATATACACACCCATAGTAATGCCCCTCTATGTGTCCAGTAATAGAGTAGTCTAAGGAAGACATAAGGGTCACTGTTTGGGAGTAAATCTCATGGTACCTTTTCCTGATAATCACCTTCTGTGTTCTCTGGGTTAGCAAAGATCAGGAAGACTTGTTCCAGTGTTATCTGACTGATGGAGTAGTCTTCTAAATTGAATTTCTCTTTAGCTTCCTCCAAAATACCAAACACCTTTGGCAACAACAGCAGTAAAAAAGTGCAGTTACCATTGCAGGCCTCCCCTCCAGCCTCCAACCCAGCTGAGCATCTCCTGCCCGTCCTCCAAGTCCTGCCAAGTTCATGTTGGAGGACAAAAGGGGAAGATGAGAAAATGAACAGATAATTGAGAATCTGCAAGGAAGCACTTCTCTGTCCCTATTATCTTGGTAGACATGACAAATAATGGGATTTAAGAAAGAAAAATCAATTAAACTCTAGGGGCCTTTGAAAAATAACATACTTTAGGGAATTTTTCTGCTCCTCATACAATGTCAGCCTCCCATTACATATGCTTGGATATCAGATACTTCCCCCATCAGAATCACTGTCTTAACATGTAATGTTAGAAGAGCATGGTTTCTACATTCACCTTTCCCCAGCTGTTGTCCTTGCTGGGAATGTAGTAGTTTAGGATCCCTTGATTCTCATGCTTTAATACACTACCTAAAAAATGAAAGCAAGATAGATAATCTTAACAGATACCATTTTTAATTTCCAAAATATTGCTATATCAACTTCATTATACACAATTATTAATACAAAAAAAATGACATGGTCAAATAACCCACTCTCTTTGGTACACATGACATGGTTAATTCCTTTCAGAGTTATTCCTGATGAATAGCCTTATTATGTGGAGTTCATAGCAATTACTAAAGGTATGCTTTCAGGTACAGTAAAGTTGTCAGCTCACATGCCCCATGTTCAAAACCTGAGCCTCCTCAAATTCTAATGTTACAACAAGACTTTATTTCTGAACATAGTGCTGAGAATATGATGAGCTGGCTGGATTTTCACTCTGGTTGTGTGGATATGTATGCATGTACAGTGTGCTTGGTGGGGAGGAGAGGAGGACAATGCCTCCTCACTATTCACATGATCACATGCCCCATGAAAGACAAAATCATGCCTATAGATTACCAAAGTCAACCTGTATGTTCTGTGTGTTCTTACCCACTGGTGGAATGACAGGGAAAAGGGTGGTATCCATTTCTTTTTTTTTTTTTAATTTTTTTTTCAACGTTTATTTATTTTTGGGACAGAGAGAGACAGAGCATGAACGGGGGAGGGGCAGAGAGAGAGGGAGACACAGAATGGGAAACAGGCTCCAGGCTCCGAGCCATCAGCCCAGAGCCCGATGCGGGGCTCGAACTCCCGGACCGCGAGATCGTGACCTGGCTGAAGTCGGACGCTTAACTGACTGAGCCACCCAGGCGCCCCTGGTGGTATCCATTTCTAATGGGAACAAACATTTACGCTCATCAGTGCACATTTGCAGGTTGAGGAGAATTGGACTAACTGGGTTTAAAGTGTTTTAAAGTAAAAAATACATGTTCATAATGGTGAGATTTTTTAATGCGAATTTTTTAAAAAAAATTTTTTTAACAGTTTTTTTAAATTTATTTTTGAGACAGAGAGAGACAGAGCATGAATGGGGGAGGGGCAGAGAGAGAAGGAGACACAGAATCGGAAGCAGGCTCCAGGCTCCGAGCCATCAGCCCAGAGCCCGACACGGGGCTCGAACTCACGGACCGTGAGATGGTGACCCGAGCCGAAGTCGGACACTCAACCGACTGAGCCACCCAGGCGCCCCTTTAATGCGAATTTTAATGCATGTATTGTCTCCATGGTCATGTACAGCTCTTTTTTGTGTGTGAAATATTTGAAACATGGAGTTTAATGAATTACTCAAAGCAAACACTGGTGAAATCATCTCATATAGGCCAAGTAATAGTAACACAGAAACTCCCATGTGCCACTTCTCAGCCTCTATCCCCCATAAAAAGTCATCAATACCTTCGTTGTTATTGTGGATATTTCCTTTCCTGTTTTTACCTGTGCATACACCTCTAAAAATTGAGGTAGAGTTTTCCTACCTTTGAAGCTTATGTGAATGGAATCATCTGATATATATATATATATTTTTTTCTGCTTCTTTCACTAAATGTTGTGAGATTCATTCGTGTGGTTGCATATAGCTATAATTCATTTTCCTCTGTAAATAGTAATCCGGTATATGAATATTCCACAGTTTGTTTTCCATTAGGCTACTGATAGACATACAGGTTGTCTGACTATTGTGAATATTGCCGACTTAAGTATTATTTTACTTATCTCCTTGTTACAGGTGGATGCAAGTATCTAAAGTGTAGCTGTAGGTAGAATTGTTGGGCCATAGCTTTTTTAAAAACTGGAAAGAGTGTCACTTGCACTCTTCCTACAAGAAAGCTGGAAAAATTGCAAATATTGTTTTTTCTTGAACCCATCAGTTTTATGATAGGGCAAACTCAGAGCAACCTGTGTCTGGGGAGAGACAGGCATCTACAGAGAGGATTAGGGCCAGAGCATTTGTTTGTGCAAGGCAGACACTGCCAGATGATAGAAGCTGAATTTAAAAAATGGAATAAGTAGCTAAAGATCAAGTGTGGGACAGCAAGAGAATTAAGAAGCCCACTCTTTCATTTTTAACTTGTCTGATTTAGTTTTTTTTAGTAGTGCTTCTTACACACATTAGAGAACTGGATTTTGCTTATGAGCCAAGCTGAATTTTTTTTTTTTCATTTCATGCAGGAGTTGTCTATTTATATATGCTGAAAGCAACAGTATGTTTAATTGTGGTCCTCCTATATAATTTTTAAAATTATATATACATATATACAGATAAATGCATAAATATAAATACAAATGTAAATATACAAAATACATGTGTGTATGTACTTCACCTTGTGGTTGGTTCTTTTTATTCTTACTGTTATATGGGTGATATATTTTGTTCTTATGGTTAACTTCATACTAATGTCTTTTCCTAATACCCATAAATAGTCCCTTCTTTTCAAGACAGTGGTATAAACATCCAGTGCTCACCAGTAGTTCCTATGCAGAAACTTCTCCAATCATTCCTTAGTCGATACGAAATTTTTGTTTGTATAGTCTTCAGGGAGAACCACTGGGGACAATATCTCCTGAATACCTATTTGTTTATAACTCTTTTTGAATTTTATTCTTGAAGATCATTTTGGCTGCATGTGAAAACTACAGGTTGTATTTTTCTTAGCATAAAATGTTTTATCACAAAGCCTGAGATCAATCTAATTTTCTTTCCCTTATAAACTTTCCTTCTTTCCCTTATCTTTTTACCTGGAATCCAAAGGTCAACCACCTTTATTATTAAAATACAATAGTTACATTGGAATACTCCTTGGTGTTGATGATATTGAGTCAATTTTTCAGGTTGTCCTTTTAGTAAGCAGGTTTGTCTCATCTTAGGAAATTTTCTTGAATGATAGTTTATAGTATTTATTCCATTTTATGGCTTTCCTTTTCTTCTTTGTGGACTAATTTCATATTGTGTTGGATGGTCCTTGCCTTGCCTCTCTCTTACTTTCACATGCTTAACTATGTTTCTGTTTGATGGTTTTCTGTTTTTCTCCTTTCCAATACTGTTCCCTTGTGCTTTCTGTGTGGTTTATTTGCTCTTGATAGTTAAGTATTTCTGAAATATTTACTTAAAGTATTCTCTCCAGTGAGGTCAGCTGTCTTTATATATCCCCTTGTTGTCTAGCCATCTAATCTTCTTGCCCTTTCAATTCTAATTTAGGATTTTCTTACATACCATCTATTCCCTTCTTAATTCTGTAAGCTCATATTGAAATATTATATACTAGTTGCATCTACTTTGTAGCCTTACAGCTCTGCTGTTCTTTCAATCTCTGTAGGTTATTTTCTTTTATCCTCTTTTATGATATTTTTCTGTGGGATTCAATTTTAATCTTTTCAATCATTTATATTTAAATGAGGTTAATTTTCTTATAGATTTAGTAGGTGTTTCCTATGTAGAAGGTAGGGTAGGACAGAATATTTTCTTAGCTTTAGAGTCCTCTTTTGAAGGGTTCCTTCTAAGAGTCTTCTGGGATTTATCAAGTAGGCCTTCCTCTGGTACTCTCTGATATCTGCCTCCTGTGGGTCTCTCTCCACTCCAAGCTTAAATTTGAGATCCTTTACTCCAGAAAGGATATCTGCTTGCTTCTACTTGGAATCAGAGGATGCTACTTTGATGGGGGAGCTTGGGGCAAGCTGAGGGCAAAATGTAGGCTGGCATCCCCTGCCCCCCCCCCCCAACAAGTGGAATATGTGTGATATTCCTTGGACACTCTTGGTTACCCAAAAACAAAGGAAAGGGGTTTAAGTGCTTGCCACAGTAATATGGGAAACTAAGGCAAATGAAAAATTAAGTTCCTTTACTGCTTGTAGCCCATTGACAAGTCCTTGAAACAGAGTGACCTCCTTCTAGGAGCTTAGCTGCCTCGATGATGACAGTTTGCTGGGGCAAAAGAGAACATTAGCTTAACAATATCCCAACCTTAAGGATCCTGAAAGTCTACTTCCTTTATCTCAACTGCCCCAAGATATATGCTGACAATCATACTCCAAGCTTACGGCCCCCCGATATACTTCTGAAGGGTCTCAAGACTGAGGTTTTGTTAAATGGTAATAAATTATGTTTCCCTAGCAACAGCTAGCCCCTCAAGGTCCTGGAAACCTTGCTTCCAAAATTCTTCCAGAGACTTACTCTATCCCTGACTCCCTCCCAACCTGAGGGTGTATAATGAGTTACCCATCAGGACTCCAGTGCAGCTCTTTCTGCCCATGGGTTCTGTCCCCATGCTTTAATGAAATCACCTTTTTGCACCAAAGATGTCTTCAAGAAGTTTTTCTTGGCCATTGGATCCAGACCCCATGAACCAAAACTTCATCATAACTGACCAACCCACTTGTGGCTGTCTCTGGATGAGCTTCCCAACCCTGACGAGGGTCCAGAGCTTCATCAATGATCCCAGTGCCAAGATGGCACTTGCTTCCACAATTCGCATTTTCTAAATGCTCACTGTTTCTTTTGTTTTCTCCTTTTTTCTTATTTTCTGGTTGTTAAAAATTTTTTTCCCAATTTTGTTTGTAAGACAATTACTGTATTTAAGATGTATTTGTTTAAATTTTTACCAATTTCTAGGTTATTTTACCAGGAGCACTTTTCAGAATATATAAGCTAACACACTGTAGAAATCATCTTTGCCTTAAAAAAACCACATGGTCATTTAAATTTACTCAGGATTATGCAGTATCATTTACCCTAGATATCTGATTATTGTGGCAAATCCTCTTTAGAGTATACATTCTAGATGACTTTTGCTTGCAATATTTATTTCTTCTTTTTAAAAATCAAAATTTAGGTATAGATGCCATGTCAATTCCTTTTTGATTCTGTCATATTTGAATAGGTATTTGCTCTAGCATAATGTAAGGAAGAACAGGGCAACAACCACCTTACAGTTGAGAAAATGCCTCAAACCCACATTTCCATTAAAGCTCTCGTGTCCACATCCTTGAAAATAGGTCTTGGGTCAGTGTTTAGTGCCCTTCCTTCAAGAAGAGCTAGGACAGCACACAGTAGTGAGGTTTTCTGGTCACAGCTTCTCTCATGGTAATTTATCACATGAAATAGAAGTTTGATAGAATAGTACTCAAACATATGTGAATGAATGCATTACGTGAGTATTAAACTTCTTTCTTAATGGACGCATCCATCTGCATGTGTCCTATGCACATCATAATCACTATGGCCAACACTGAGGTAATTACTTTCCCATACATCTATTCTCCACATCTCCACTTCCATTCATTTCTTATCTATTTTCTTTAAGTTTACTTATTTATTTGGGGGGGGAGGGGCAGAGAGAGAGAGACAGAGAGAGAGAGAGAGAAAGAGAGAGAGATAGAGAGAGAGAGAGAGAGAGAGAGAGAGAGAGAGAGAGAGAATCCTAAGCAGGCTCCACACTGTCAGCACGGAGCCTGACACAGGCTTTGAATCCAGGAACTGTGAGATCATGACCTGAGCTGAAATCAAGGGTCGGATGCTTAACCGACTGAGCCTCCCAGGCACCCTTCTTATCTATTTTCTGATATTTATTCCTACTGTGTAATCAATCATGCTCTTTTCCATTGCCTGAAAGATAAACTTATAACTCCTCAGCCTGACACACAGTGGGAACTTCTCTGATATTTTACTCACCCTCACAAAGTGGAGTAAGATGAAAAACCAGAATTATTAAAATCTTTTCCATGCCTCTGCTTTATGTTTAAGAAAGAGAGGTAAAGGGGCACCTGGATGGCTCAGTCAGTTAAGTGTCCAGCTTCAGCTCAGGTCATGATCTCATCGTTCATGAGTTTGAGCCCTGCATCGGGTTCTGGGCTGACAGCTCAGAGCCTGGAGCCTGCTTCAGATTCTGTGGTCTCCCTCTCTCTCTCTGCCCCTCCCCCATTCATGCTCTGTCTTTCTCTCTCAAAAAATAAATAAACATTAAAAAAAAAAGAAAGAGAGGTAAAGGACAGAAGGAAATAGTTGCTGTCTCTGGTATTGTACCATATAGGCAGAGAGATGCTTGTTGCATTTAGCAGCAGAAGCAGAACTAATCTTGAGAGAAGAGAAAAACTTAGTGTTTCTTGTTTGCATTTCTATATCACATCCTGGCTGAGATATCAAAAGATTGGGATACATGCTTAGTTAGAATAAAAAGCCTTAAGACTTTGCAAAAGTAATATGTGAAAATGAGCATTGTACTTGAAAATATGACTTTAGTGGTATAATTTATATTGATAGCACAAATCCCAAACTGCCTTATTACAATGATACAAGAGATTAGTGAGAACTTTTTTATATGTGTGTGAAAAAATATGTATCGTAATGCTAAAGTTATAGAAAGAAGGATCCCAAAAGGAATTCAGTATGGAAGGTCAATAAATATCAATATCCCACAGGAAACACTTACTGAAGACATAAAACATGTGGATGATGAAACAATAAAACCATGATTTAACACATCTTTATAAAAGTTAGCCTAACCTAGTTTACCTGGGAATGTCATTGTGATGAAAAATTTTAAATCATTCAGTTTATCCTCCTGTGCATCAATCTTGACCTTGATCTTCAGGACGTAAATGTTGCCAAACTTGCTTTTGAGGTGCTGAGGGCTACCCAGGCACATGAACTTTCCCTCCACCATGATGGCCAGCCTGGTACAGAAGGCGTCACATTCCTCCATTCTAGCAAAACATGATACCATAAAAAGTTCTGGTTTGGGAGGACATTCTGTAGTTCAAACAGAGCCAGGATTTGTGACTCTATTTTCAGTGTGAAATGGAATTTGGTAATCATAAACATTATAGTTGGGAAGTGAAAAATTTTCAAACAATTAGTAGAGTACAAATCCTCAAACACAGCATCTCTTAAACTTCCTGCTCTTTCCCCACTCTTAATTATTTAACTCAGTGAGTATGTTTGGCCACTCTATTCATTAGGATTAAGGAGGAACTCACATACACTAAAATTTATTGTCAATATTCCTAGCCCCAAATAATTCTTGCTTATAGTCAGTATAGTACTTGCCAACCCTCGTTCAAGCCTCCAAATGAGCCACACCTATGGGAAGTTATAATGATGGCTTTGCCACTTTCACGTGTCCATGTCAGAGCATCCCAGAGCAGGCGTCGGGCTCCAGGGTCCATGCCAGTTGATGGCTCATCTAGCAAAATGACTGAGGTATTTCCCATTAGGGCAATAGCAGTACTCAGCCTACGTTTGGTTCCTCCACTTTATGGTCATAGAAGGAAAGAAAATTTAGAAGAAAGGGAGGTTATACAAATTAGTTATTTATAGGAAATAGCACAAACATATCAACAAACATTTAACATGAAATTGCACAATGTTGATTAGTTTTACTTCAATAAGTTAGGTCCAGTACAGGTGTATATATCAAATAATTTTCATTTGAAATGTAGATTAGTGACTTCTATGTAACTGATTTTAGCCACATTATCAGTGACATTTATTTACTTGTGCTTAGGGTACCATGATTTCCCAAGTATATGAATTTCCCATAATTCAAAGGGCCTAGATTTCTTCTTTCTTGGGAGACAAAGAACTATTTGGACACTAGGATGAATAGTATACCTTTGTGATAATAGATAATATATTGAGGAAACATCTCTTTTGAGATTTAGAGGCTATAGTTCAAATTTAACCAGGATTTTAGTTTCATCTCTGCAAAAGAAAGACATGGAACTACACTGATTTATCTTAATTGCTATTATCTGATATTAGCAACTCATGAGATAGTTTCACAATTAGATAATACTGTTACAGAGGGACTTGGGTAGAGCTGTGCACATTTATTTCAAACATCAGAGACATAGGGAGGCATCTCAACATTATAACAGCTGCAACAAAAAGATCCTAATAATGAAATAACTCACCTGTAGGTTATGATAAGCTTGTCAGCATGGAGTTCCAGTTGCATTGAATTCAACCATCTATTCACATACAGCTGAATCTGGGGCTCAGAGATTCCCCATAACCTGGCATACATGATCATTATTTCCCGACCAGTCATGTATTCCAGCAATGCTTCAGACTGAGGACAATAGCCAACTCTCGATTTCACCTGATTAAGAGAATTGCCTTAATAAGGACCCAAGTCATCTATCCCACTGAGTGTCCCTGGATGAGACAGAAGACTACAGTCCTCCAGGCCATGTCTCTAAGAGTCCTACCAAGAATTTTTCTTTTCTAAATGCTACGCAATGATGGCCACTGGATCTGTTGTAATAAGTTGGAATAAAAGATTCCTTAGTTCAGTTTTAATGATATTAGCAATGAGAAAGTTAGAAATAAAGTCTCAGAGCCCAGTGAATTTGGAATTTTAGAGTATGAAATACTCCCCTCATTAATAAGAAACTCTAATGGGCATGGCCACCATGGAAGTTTTTGCATTGCACAACCTGCACAGTCATGTCTAGATCTTGTTTCACAGTAAGACTGAACCAGAAGCAAAGCCTTATCCCACTCTCACAAACAGAATGCAATGAATGTTGCTTTGCCAATTAACCAATCCTTTTATGGATTTGCATTCAGATGCAAATAGGTACTCAGAGGAAAAGATAATAAAATTTTATTTTATTTATTTTTATAATTGTTTTTTAAAAATATAATTTATTGTCAAATTGTTTTTCATACAACACCCAGTGCTCATCCCAACAAGTGCCCTCCTCAATGCCCATAACCCACTTTCCCCTCTCCCCCAGCCCCATCAACCCTCAGTTCTCTGTATTTAAGAGTTATGGTTTGCCTCCCTCCCTCTCTGTTTGTACCTTCCTCCCCCCCCAACCATGGTCTTCTGTTAAGTTTCTCAAGACCCACATGTAACATTATTTTATTAAAATTAATTAAAAATTAATTAATATTAAAAACAGTATTTCTAAATAATTAAAATTCATCCCTTTTCCTCTGAGATTTTATTAATTAATTTACAGTAATCCCAGACTATTTGCAGCCCTAGTCTCTTTGCAGAAATCAAAACAAACCCTTTCTTCTATTCTAGGTATAAAATTATTGTCCCATATTATTTTTGAAAGTAAATGAACTGCATACAACATAACCCAGTGAACAAAGAAAAAGATACCATAAATGCCATCAGTAGAAATAATACTTACCAGCAACATATTTTTAATGACTTCAAATATTGGTATTATCATATCAGATGAGAAAATGATTGTGCTTATTATGTTTAAATATATTTAAAAAAATTAAGAATATATTAATGAAAAAAGTGAAGCTGGAGATATTACAATTCAAGATATCAAGTTATACTACAAAGCTATACAAATCAAAACAGTATGGTACTGACACAACAAGAGACACATGATCAATGGAACAGGAAAGAAAGTCCAGAAACAAACCCATGATTATATGGCCAATTAATATTCAACAAAAGAGGCAAGAATATGTAATGGAATAAAAACAGTCTTGTCTCTTCAACAATTGATGATGGGAAAACTGGACAGCTACATGAAAAATAACAAAACTGAACTACTTTCTTTCACCATATACACACAAAAAAAACTCAAAATGGATTAAAGACCAAAATGTGAGACATGAAACCATAAAAGTCCTAGAAGAGAATATAGGCAGTAATTTCTCTGATATTCACCACTGAAGCATTTTTCTAGACATGTCTCCCAAGTCAAGGGAAATAAAAGCAAAAATAGACTATTGGGGCCACATCAAAATAGGAAGCTTCTGCATAGTGAAGTAAACAATCAGCAAAACTGAAAGACAACCTACTGAATGGGAGAATATATTTTCAAATGACATACTCAATAAAGGGTTAGTATCCAAAATATATAAAGAATGTATACAACTCAACCCCTGAAAATGAAATAATCCAATTAAAAAGTGGGAATAAGACATGAACAGACATTTCTCCAAAGAAGACATTCAGCTTTCCAACAGCCACATGAAAAGATGCTCAATATCACTTATCATCAAGGAAATGCAAATCAAAACTACAATGTGATATCACCTCACACCTATCAGAATGGCTAAAACCAACAATCCAAGAAACAACAGGTGATGGTGAGGGTGTGGAGGAAGGGAAACCCTCTTGCACTGTTTGTGGAAATGCAAAGTATGGAAAGAGCCCCTCGACTGATGAATGGACAAAGAAGATGTGGTATGTATATATACAATGGAATATTACTTGGCAATCAAAAAGAATGAAATCTTGCCATTTGTAGCAATGTGGATGGAACTAGAGTGTATTATGCTAAGCGAAATAAGTCAGTCAGGGAAAGACAAATGTCATACGATTTCACTCATATGTGGAATTTAAGATACAAAACAGATGAACATAGGGGAAGGGAAGCAAAAATAAGATAAAAACAGAGAGGGAGACAAGCTGTAAGACACTTAAATACAGAGAACTGAGGGTTGCTGGTGTAGTGTTGGGTGGGGAAATAGGCCAAATGGACAATGGGCAGTAGGGGGGGCATTTGTGGGAATGGGCACTGGGCATTATATATAAGTGATGAATAACTAAATTCTATTCTTGAAATTGTTATTACACTATGTGTTAATTAACTTAGATTTAAATAAAAAAAGAAAAAAATGCTAAAAGCTTGTAGCAAACTAGACATAGAAATGAATTTTCTTAAACTGACAAAGGGTAGCCAAATATAATATATAGTAGTAGAAATTTAGAAGTATTCCATGCAAAGGCAGGGGCAAAAAGATATTTATCATCATTGCCAGTATTCAACATTGTACTGGTGGTCCCACTTTATGCAATAGCACAATAAATGAAGAATGACAATGGGAAAGGAAGAAAAACTCTCATTATTTTTAGATGATAAACCTACCTACATAGAAAATCCAAGTTAATCTGTAGATAAACTGAAAACTAATTAGAGAATTAGTTCATATAGGTTTCTGGATAATAATATCAGCATATAAAAATTCAATAGCATTCCTGAATACTAGCAACTTATGTCAGAAAAAAAAGATCCCATGAACAGTATAAATAAAACCCACAACGTACAAATAATAATAACGTGACAAAGGAGGAGGAGGAGGAGGAGAAAGAGGAGAAAGGAGGAGGAAGGGAAGGAGAGGATGAGGAGGAGTTGTTATAAGGAAATAAATAAAACTGTAAAGGAGTTTAGGGGTAGAATTACAAAACAATGCTAAAAAGAGTAAATCAGAAAAATGTCCACCTGGGAAGCTCTAAGCCCTTGTTTTCAATGGAAACCTCAAAAAACAATCAGAAAGGGACTAAAATATCCTTATAGGAGCTCTGAAAAATCGTTGAAGCCTACAGCAACCAAGTGAGTATTTAATTAAGAAAAAGCCATCTTCAAAATAGTAAGATATTTGGTGGCATTTTTACTCATCCTTGCCCAAACCCTCCCTGTTGCAGAACAGTCTTGGTCGGAGGAGGCAGCAGCCCAGTTCCCTATTTCTTCTCCCAAATGAGAGGGAGTTGAGTAAATCTAACCTGGCTGGGGACTGCCTGAAGATTGGTGTTTGTTTTGCTTGGGCAAAAAACTGGAGGGTACTGTTCATGAAAGCTACAGGAGGATTATAGACCTGCAGACTCCTGGAAGAATACAAAAAGCCACATGAACAAGCAGACAAGATGCACGCACAGAAGACATAGAATATCTATCATAAGCCTTCACCTAAAGCTGATATCCAAGTTCAGGACACAGTCAGCTAAATAGTGAAGGACTGCCTCAGCACAGAGCCAGTCGGCAAAGACTAGGAGAGGTGGCTGCTTTGTCAACAGCCCAATTTTCAAAAAGACATACAAATAAACATGAATATAAGGCCCAAAGAATAGAATAAAATAAATTGGCAGAAACTGCTCCAGAAGTAGCACAGCTATGACTTACTTGATAAAGACTTTAAAATAATTGTCTTCGATATGCTGAAAGAACTAAAGGAAACTAAAGAAAATTATGAAAATGATAAATGAACAAAAGGAGAATATCAACAAAGAGGAAGAAATAATTTAAAAAAAAAAGAGAGAAATTCTGGACCTGAAAAGTATAATGAATGAATTTAAAAATTCACTACAAGTGTTCAAGAGGAGTTTGATCAGGAAGAAGAAAGAATCAGTGAACTTGAATATAGGAGACTTGAAATTATTAAGTATGGGTAGCAGAAAGAAAAAAGAAGGGGCTTATTCTACATCATCAAACACAGCAGCATATACACATGGGATTCCCAGGAGAAGAGAGACAGAAATGGGAGGAAAGGTTATTAGAAAAAACTTCTGAAGTTTAACAAAATATATGGATTTACAAATTCAAGACACTTACAGACTTCAAGTAGGAAACCCCTAAGATACCTACAATAAGACACATTTTAATCAAACTGTCAAAAGACTAAAACAAAGATGTAATCTTGAAAGCAGCAAGCAAGAGCAATTTATCATATATAAAGGATTCTCAATATGAACATCAGTAGACGTCTGAGCAGAAACTTCCGAGACTAGAAAGTAGTGGGATGATATATTTAAAGTAAGAAAAAACATCAACCAAGAATTCTATAGCAAGAATTGTGTCCTTCAAAAATAGAAAATAAGAAATTCCCTGATAAATAAAAGATAAGGGGGTTCATTACCAACAGATCTACCCTACAATAAATGCTAAAAACATTCCTTTACATGGACATTAAAGGACACTAGACAGTAAATTAAAGCCATATGAAGAGATAAAGATCTCTGGTAAAGCAAAGTCCTCTGACACATATAAAAACCAGAATTATTATACTTTTGATTTATGACTCAACTATTTATTTTATACAATATTTAAAAGGCAAATACATAAAATAATTTTTAATGGTATACAAAGTATAAAGATGTAATTTTTGACAACAATGACATGGTGTGGACATGGCAACAGTGGTGTACAGAAATAGAGTTCTGTGTGTGATTGAAATTCAGTTGGTATCAATTCAAAATAGATTGTTACAACTTTACGATATTAGATGAAACCCCAATGGTAACCACAAAGACAATATCTGTACAATATACACAAAAGTAAATAAGTGTATCAAAACATGTAACTACAAAAAAATCAACTAAACACAATGTAAAGCATTAATGGAGGAAATCAGGGGCAAAAAACATCAATAAGAGATATGGTAAACAACAAATGGAAAAAGTAAGTCTTTCTCTATCAGTAATTTCTCTAAATGTAATTCCCCAATCAAAAGGCATAGATTGGCAAAGTGAATTAAAAAAAACAAACATGATCCAAATATATGTTATCTTGTCAGACTCACTTAGGTTTAAGGACACAAATAAGTTGACAGTAAAAGGATAGGAAAAAAAATTCATGAAAATAGTGCCCAAAAGAGCTGAATGGCTATACTATTATTAGAGAAAATAGACAAAGTCAATAACTGCTACAAGAACAAATACAGTATTATATATTGATAAAAGGATCAATTTACCATGAAAATATAGCAATTATACACATATATGCACCAAACATCAGAGCTCTAAAGTATATGAAGATAACAATGATAGATTTGAAGGGAGAAATAAACAACTGAAAAATATGAGTTGGAGACTTCAGAACCCCACTTTTACTTATTTTCTTTAAATCTTATTATTGAAGTATGTTTGACATACAATATTATATTAGTTTTAGGTGTACAAGATAGTGATTAAGTTCTATACATTATGCAGGGCTCACCATATGTATAGTTACCATCTGTCACTAGACAATATTATTATTATATCATTGACTATATCCCCTATGCTATGTTTATCATCCTCATGACTTATTTATTTTATAACTGGAAGTTTGTACCTCTTAATCCCTTTCAGTTATTTTGTCCATCTTTCTACCTGTTTCCCTCTTGAAAACCCCCAGTTTGTTCTCTGTATCTAGAGTCTGTTTCTGTTTCTGTTTGTTCATTTTTTTTAGATTCCACGTATAAGTAAAATCACATGGTATTTTTCTCTCTCTGTATAACTTACTTCACTTAGAATAATACCATCTACGTCCATCCATGTTGTTGCAAATGGCAAGATAACATTTTTTATGGCTAAGTGATATTCCATTGTATATACATCTTCTTTATCCCTTCATCTATCAATGGACACTTAGGTTACTTCTGTATCTTGACTACTGTAAATAATTCTGCAATAAACATAGGGGTGCATGCATATATCTTTTTGAATTAGTGTTTTGTGTTCTTTGGGTAAATAGTAGTGAAATTTCCAGATCATATGACATTTCCATTTCTATTTTTTTAAGAACCTCATCACTGCCTGCTGGGAATTTTGAAATCTCTGACCCCAAGGACCACCTGGAAGAACCCACTCACTTCCTTTTATCATGTATCACTTCTTTCTCTATTTCAATTTCTTCCCTTCAAGTGTAAATGTGGTCAAGTTATTTAATGTATAAAATATCTCCTATTTCATTCCCACAACTTTGAGTGAATGTTTCTCAAACTTCTCACAAGTGAACTTTCTTTGCTTCAAAACTGACTTTCTCAGCGCCTGTCCCTGCCTCTCCGCCACCTCCACCCTGGCCTATCCCCCGGCTGGCCAGTGGCGTTGGCGGGGAGGGGGACAGTAGTTGTAGACACCCGCCCCTGCCTCAGAGAAGCTTCCTGGTTGTTGCACAGTCTCACCATTTGGGGAAAGTCCATGCTAGAAAACTGAAGCAATTAATGGGGGAATATGACCAGATTTCTTCACCAAGTTCCCAGCCTGATAAAGAGAACCCCTTGTTGTCAACCTAATGAAGCATTCAAAGAAGACATATGACTCTTTTCAAGATGAACTTGAAGATTATATCAAAGTGCAGAAAGCCAGAGGCGTAGAGCCAAAGACTTGTTTCAGAAAGATGAGAGAGGACTGTTTGGAAACTTGTGGGTACAAAGAAGAGGTTGATTACAGACCGAGGCATAGAATGTTTGATCACAGACTCTCATCTGAGACTGTCCAGACCTACCCGAGATCATGCTCTATTTCACCAAAGGTGGAAAACCGGTTACCTCAGTGGCTACCAGCTCATGACAACAGGCTAAGACTAGACTCTCTGAGCTACTGCCAATTCACCAGGGACTGTTTCTCAGAAAAACCAGGACCCCTGAACCTTAGTCAGCAAGGGTATAACCATCGCCCATACAGTGTGGAATCTGGAGTTTACAAGCGTCTCTCCTCAGAAAACAGTGCCAGCGCCCATCAAGCCAGTCATAAACAGATACATCAGCAGGGGAAATCCAGGCACCCAGAGGAAGCCAGAGAAAAAGCAGAGGAGGAGCGGCCCAAGCATAGGAGGAAAAAAGGTTGTGAAGAAATAGATTTAGACAAACACAAGAACTTCCAAAGAAATGAAACACAAATGGAAACAGTCAGGGTCAGTACAGAAAAGCTTAAGAATCGAAAGGAGAAAAAAGGCCGAGATGTGGCCTCTAAGAAAGAGGAATGTAAGCATAGAAAAGAGAAAAAGGAACAAGGTAAAGAGAGGACAGAGGAAGAAATGTTTTGGGACCAGTCTATCCTTGGATTTTGAAGATCCTGAGTTGGTTCTCCTGAGGTTAAATTGAACAAATAGTTGAGGAGCTTGGTTTTATGATGTCCACGTTCATATCGATTTTTTTCATATGAACAGGTACTTTAATTTCTAACAACAGGCCAAGTGAACTGCAAGTATTTAATGTGGTTACTCTCCAGCACGGAAATTACTTTTCCTTATTTCCTGAAAGCATCCCTACATTTTTCTTCTATATAATGTAATTTTCCTTAATGAGAGTGGCACTGCTTTTACTCATCAAATTGCTATGATAGTAGAAGTATTTTTCCTTTGGGAGGTCACTTATTTTAAATTGAAGTATTAACGTGCTTTGCAGAATCTATTTCTTGATTAGGTTTGTTTTAGTTTTGGGTGGGATATTTTTATATTCATTAGTTTTCTCTTTGACACAATTTAGACTGATTTTTTTCCTTTGTTAGACCTAACTTGCAGTGTATTTTCTAGATTGCAAAGTGGAAAATGAAATACATTATAATAATAATAAGCTAAGGTTACATATAGTTTTAAAAGTTTCAAAGAGTCTTGATATAAAATCAGTTTATATTCTGGAAATATTTATAATAAAGTGTTCTACTTTCTGAAAAAAAAAAACTAACTTTCTTCAAAGTATAATCCAAATTCTTAGCTTAACCTCTGTTACTAGAATACTATTCATCCTAGAGCATGCAGACTCCCATAACCCCATCTTCCTGATGTCATAATGACAATGTCCTGTGAACTAAAGAGGAAAGAAATGAACCATTCAGGCTCCCATTACTACCGCCCAACTGGCCATAGTACAATAGTTCTTGCTAACTGCATCAGTGAAGTTCTAGTTGCTAAATCCAATATACAGGTGTCTGGGTGGCTCAGTCAGTTAAGTGTCTGCCTCTTGATTTCAGCTCACGGTTTGTGAGTTTGAGCCCCGCATCAGGCTCTGTGCTGACACCATGGAGCCTGCTTAGGATTTTCTATCTCCTCTCTCTGTCTCTCTGTCTCTCTGTCTCTCTCTCTCTTTCTCTCTCTCAAAATAAGTAAACTTAAAAAAATCCAATATGCACTATTCAGGCTTTACGTTGCCTGAGACTTTCTGAAGTTTGAAACCTTTGACCATTTTCTTCTTGAATTTTTCCCCCACTTAGCTTTTCCCCAAGATTATTCACTCTTTCCCAGGTGGCATGTAAACCAATGACTGGCTGATTCAGAGATACAAAAGACAGCTATCTTGCTTTGATTTGGGACCACTTGGAAAGGCCATCCTGTTCCAGAACTCTAATGTGCATGAAGACCTCAATTATAAGTGAACTGCACTTATATGTGAACTGCATCTTCTGCCCAGTCTTTCCTTCCTTACAGTACCTTGTCTGGCATATATTAGATGTACTATTGATAGAACTTGCCTTTTAATCTAACATTTTCAAAGAACACAAAAGATACTCATGTCTTAGATTCTGCTCTTGTTGCCTATCCTCAAAAATATATTTCTCTCTCCAGAATCTACTGAGCCAAGAGTATCAATATCAATGTCTCTCATGATGGCCATCTATTATCTTTAGCATCTGCCCATTACCTGTACCTCAAGTCATCAAACTTCTTATATCTTAGACTGTAATAGTGTCTTACTTTTTGGAGCCTTTTAGTGATGCTAAATTGCTCAAGGAACACATCCCCAGAGGTAACAGTCTCCTCTCCAGTCAAAATTTTGAAGGTAGTAGTTTTTCCAGCTCCATTGAATCCAAGCAATCCAAAGCACTCTCCCTTTTGGATTGTAACAGAGATATTTTTCACAGCCAGAATGACTGGGTACTTAAAATATATCTAAAAAAAAAAAAAAGCCAGAAAACACAATATAGTAAAGAATATTTTGAAAATCAAATATAATAAATTTATCAGATCTCTATGGACCACTACTTCAGACAGTTTTACAAGAACTTTTCTATTACACTGGGAAAAATACTCATAGATTCTGACAAACCACAGTGTGTCCCAGACACCAATGACATGTTCTTAGGGATAAATGAAGCCAGCATATATTGGCCAGTGAATGATGTTACCTTTGTGAGTTCCTTAATAAGTACTGCAGAATTCAGCAACTCCCTAGGCTGCCCCAGGATTCTCTGTCTTTCATTTTGTACATCTTCATCATCAGATTCTCCAGATAGTTCCTTGGACACTTTTTCCTATATTTTCAAAACAAGAATCATAAAAGTAAATTCTATTTAGGTGTCTGGTCTAGAGTGGGTGGTTTCATGAAAGCTAAACTGGGGATAATCTCAAAGATGTTAACAAAGATTTATTTTAGTAATTCCATGAAGTCTTTGAATATCACCTCAGCATCGTGTACAAGTTGACTGAGTTTTGAATAATAAATAGTTTGTCGGGAGAATGATGGCAGAGATTAGAGAAGGAAAAGTCATCCACATAGTAGAAATATTGTGAATTAACATGCTACAATATGTACTTTAAATCTTTAAAAGAGAGAATTTATTTTTTTAAGTTTTTACTTAAATTCCAGTTAGTTAACATACAATGTAATATTAGTTTCAGGGACACAATATCGTGATTCAATACTTCCATACAGCATCTGGTGCTCATCACAACAAGTGCACACCTAAATCCCCATCACCTTTTTAACCCATCTCCACACTCCCCTCCCCTCTGGTAACCATCGGTTTGTTCTCTATAGTTAAGAGTTTGTTTCTTGGTTTGCCTCTTTCTCTCCCCCCGACCCCACTATGTTCACTTGTTTTGTTTCTTAATTCTACATGTCAATTAAATCATAGGCTATTTTTTTAAAATTTTTTTTTCAACGTTTATTTATTTTTGGGACAGAGAGAGACAGAGCGTGAATGGGGGAGGGGCAGAGAGAGAGGGAGACACAGAATCTGAAACAGGCTCCAGGCTCTGAGCCATCAGCCCAGAGCCCGACGCGGGGCTCGAACTCATGGACCGCGAGATCGTGACCTGGCTGAAGTCGGACGCCCAACCGACTGCGCCACCCAGGCGCCCCATATGCTATTTTTTTAAAAGACAGAATTTCTTTTAAGCATTCAGAGAAGTGATTTTTATAACTTGGATCTTTAAGAAGGAAATCATCCCAAGAGGAATGGAAATTCTAAAAAACAGCCATGAATTCTAAATAATGAATAACTTTTTCCAAAATTAATCAGGAATAGAAGCAAGAAAATCAGCAAGGCTTAACTAGACTTTTCCTAAGAAATGCCTGGACCCTATGGCCTATATTTGCAGGATAAATATTACAAGATAACATTGCTCTTTATTATTCTTGACTAGACCAAGTAGCTTTAGGAAACTGATATCGAGATGGTAGAACAGAAATTTGGCATAATTTTACAGACTGTTTTGTCCAATCAATTCAGAACATATTCATTTTTATTTACACAAATTTAAAAAATTAGGATTACATAGCATGTTGTTTTTTCCAGAACTGGACACCTCAGGAAAAACTGCAGCCACAACTGAGATCAATCAAGTGTGATTTATTACAAGTACAGCATGTTCAACGGTGAAAGCCTAAAGAAGAATAACTCTTTCTCTATGAGGGAAAGGAAAAAATCAGTAGGACTTCACCCTGAAATATTTTACAACTAACAGAATGTCAATTTGAGGAGTTACGTGGACATGTGCCCTAGTGAAACTGGTGAAAATTACCTAAATAATAGTCATTTAAAGGTTCTGGAAATGATCCTAAGGGCATGTAGCAAATTAAGAAAAATTTATTCAATAAATCTACTAAACTTGGTAAGAACAGGGAAATCCTGTGGCATTGGATCATAACCCACTCTCTCCCTCCCTTCCTATTGCTCAGAAAAGAACTTCACTTCAGGCAGGTGCAGCTATGAAAACAAAGCCTCCCCTTCCCTCACCTTTACAATTGAAGGCCAAGTAAATTCTGGGAGACACAGGATATCAGCATTTCTCATTTTGCAGAGGCTATGTTCTGGGTGAGTGTAAACAGGAACTTGGGGTTCCCTTCTCCCACCTATTCTCCACACAGGGAGTGGAGGATCCTCTACGTTGGGTGTAATGTGGACTCTAGTTCATTCTTAGGGCAGAGGCTTCATGCTGGGAGAGGTAAGCCAACAAGACCAGAGACCACTGTTCCCTACTGAGGACCCAGCTCCTGAAACAGTGATATCACTCAAGAAAGAAGCATACCACTGTTTCTGTCCTCAACTTTGGAGCCATGGCTCAGAAATTTTACCCAGGGATAGAGTTAGGTTGTAAAACAGAGAGCTCATATATTCTCCCCCATAGAACTGCCTTCATTCAAAACAGGATAGAGAAGTTCAAGCCTAAAGATACTCTCAAAACAATGGTGGTTTTCTAGAAAGCAATTAAGAAACGACTGGTAGCTTCATTAGATATATAAATTAACCATAGGCTAGCTACTCTACTAGAAAGAAACAGGGAAAGAGACAGCCATGAAAAGCCCTCCTGGGTGAAACAAATCTTGAATACTGACCTCAAGCTATTTCTGCAAAGAAGCTCAAATTTAATGGATCTATCAATAGAGCAATTTATGTGTTAGGAGAACACATTGTTGAAATAAAAAATCAGCCAGCAATTAGTGGAGCTTAACAGTTGGTTGTGGATATGGAAAGAGACAGAGACCTTAAAACTACAGTCATTCCAGGGTTACTGCCCCCATGCACAGGTCTGCATCCTCTGAGGAATAATATCAGATTCTTCACACTACAAGGAAAATAGACTTCACAAAAACATCCCAGCCAGTCACTTAAACAAACTAGCAAATGACAAAAGTTCCCTAGGAAAGAACAATACCTACAGAACCAATACACATTTAAAATATTCAGGGGTGCCTGGGTGGCTGAGTTGGTTGAGGGTCTGACTCATAATTTCAGCTCACGTCATGATCCCAGCATTGTGGGATTGAGTCCCACATCAGGCTGCATGCTGAGTGTGGAGCTGTTTAAGATTCTCTCTCTCTCTCTCTCTCTCTCTCTCTCTCTCTCTCTCTCTCTCCCTCTTCATTCTCTCCCCACTCTGTCTCTTTATCTAAAATAAAAAAGACCTCTTTCTAAAATAAATAAGTAAACAAATAAAATATCCAGAGTTCAGCAAAAATTATGAGATAAAAGAAACAGGAAACTGTGTTCCATACACAGGAAAAAGAGCAAGCAATAGGAACTGCCTATGAAAATGAAAATGACCAGATGCAAGATATAACAGACAAAGACTTTTAAAGACTTTCAAGAGTCTGGGTGGAGAGAGAGGGAAGATGGCGGCGTAGGAGGACGCTGGGCTCACCGCGCGTCCTGCTGATCACTTAGATTCCACCTACACCTGCCTAAATAACCCAGAAAACCACCAGAGGATTAGCAGAACGGAGTCGCCGGAGCCAAGCGCAGAGGAGAGGCCCACGGAAGAGGGTAGGAAGGGTGGCAAGGCGGTGCGCGCTCCACGGACTGGCGGGAGGGAGCCGGGGCGGAGGGGCGGCTCGCCGGCCAAGCAGAGCCCCCGAGCCTGGCTTGCAAAAAGCGGAGGGGCCTGACGGACTGTGTTCCGACAGGAAGCGCAACTTAGCGTCTGGGAGGTCATAACTTAACAGCTCTGCTCAGAAAGCGGGAAGGCTGGAGGACAAAGGGAAGGAGAGCTGCTGAGCCCCCAGACGACAGAGCTCAGTTTGGTGGGGAACAAAGGCGCTC